TTCTGTTGGGGGGGGGTGGCCTTTTAACACTTTCATCATCTTCACCACAACTTTCTCGTCTCTCTTAAAGCAAATTAAATGTTGCCAGATTATAATCGATATTTGTAATCGACGTAACGGTTAGCTTGTGAATAATCAAGAGGGATCACTCATTAGTGGTGCTACCGGTGAGTAAGAGGCCTGGTTATCGTTATCTTGCTGAATGTTTGGATTATCAGAGGCCGGTGTCTCGGCGCTGTTGCCTGCTGTAAGATAAAGAATTATGTAATGTAACTGATAATAGCCAGTGCATGTGTCTTTACTATCTGGGGGTAAAATAAGTCAAAGTATTCTCGTTATAAAGATAGCACAAGTTAACTTTAAAAAAAAAAGAAATTATTCGAATCTCGTATGTTTCAATATTTCTATGCAACACTATGGAATGTAACATAAACGATTTCAAGTACGTTTAACCTTTTTCAACTAGTACGTGTTTTTAAGTTCTTTTTTCAAATAACGATGATGTTCTAAAGTAAATGGTCAAATCAATGTAAACATTTACTGTTTGGAAAAAAAAAAAAACGATTGAAAGTTATACACACTTACGCACTGTTTACGCACTGTTTACGCACTGCTTTCGCACTGTTTACTTTTCAAGTATGTTTAACCTTTTTAAACTAGTATGTGTTTTTAAGTTCTTTTTTCAAAAAACGATGATGTTCTAAAGTAAATGGTAAAATCAATGTAAACATTTACTGTTTGGAAAAAAAAAAAAACGATTGAAAGTTATACACACTTACGCACTGTTTACGCACTGTTTACGCACTGTTTTCGCACTGTTTACGCACTGTCTACGCACTGTTTACGCACTGTTTACGCACTGTTTACGCACTGTTTACGCACTGTTTACGCACTGTTTACGCACTGTTTTACGCACTGTTTACGCACTGTTATGCACATTGCCACACACTGTCACAACCTCTTACGCACTGCTATTAACTGTCTAACGCACTGTTGAACTTTGATAATTTATTAAACAGCCCTAAAACCAAAGCTTTTTTGGGGGTATAAATCATTTATAGGCATTTTTTATTGGTTTATTTTACATTAATATCCCAATTTTCCACCCGCTTTTACACCGCAGATTTGTTTCACTATTTGAAAAAGAAAACAAAAGAAAATATTACGCACAAAACGCAACGGCGATAACTTTTAAAGGAATGTCATTTAGCGCAGTTGTCGGGAATTATATTTCATGAAATCTGTTGCATTATATTTGTTCATCTCTCCCTTTAAAAATAGGAAAGGCTGATTTTTGTAGGTTGGGTGTAAGGCTGACAATTTGATAATTTGTGTTGTCATCGGAAACGAGGCTATGTACCAAGTTTCAGCTCGATAGGTTGACGGGAAGTGGGCCAATTAGCCGTCCAAAGATTTTTGTCACACATCCAGAAACACACCAACAAAGGGGAAGTTAATGTAAAGGATTTACAAAATTAAAGTATTTTTCTCGACCTGGCTCTGACGACTCAGGCACTTGGGCATCCTCTGTTGGGGTAGGCACTGTGGCATCCTCTGTTGGGGTAGGCACTGGGGCATCCTCTGTTGGGGCAGGCACTGGGGCATCCTCTGTTGGAGCAGGCACTGGGGCATCCTCTGTTTGGGCAGGCACTGGGGCATCCTCTGTTGGAGCAGGCACTGGGGCATCCTCTGTTGGAGCAGGCACTGGGGCATCCTCTGTTGGGGCAGGCACTGGGGCATCAGCTTGTTGACTGTCTTGACTTACAGTCTCAGCTGCCTCTTCTGTCTTGTTTGTTTCTACAAGGTAATGATAACATTCGTTAACAATGGGGACAAAATAACGAATTAAAGAACTTTCATCACACCGGCTCTATTATAATACAGGATTAAGTCAATGGTAAGAAATGTAACGCTTTACATTTCACCGAATAAATCATTTTTTTATCAATTCAAACAAGAGTTCTATATTCAATTCCTGACTTAAATGTTTGCCTTCAGCCTTGAGGGACAATGGAAATGTTTATATATAAATCTTTGCCTCAAGCCCGGAGGGTCAAGGGAAATGTGTTATATAATGTTGACCTTCAGCCTTTATGGGCAATGGCATTGTTGCATGCCCGAAGACCAAGAGACGTCGTGTTTGAAGTCATCTGTTATCGTCCTCAGTTATTGTTAAAGTTTCTACTAGAACATTTTCATTGGTTCATTGTATATTGGTGATTTGTCTATGAGTGAATTTTCCACTGTCAATTTTTTATCTGTCAATTATCTATGGCAGTGGTTCCCAATATTTGCTCCGCACAACCCTTAAGGCTCTTATTCAGCTGGCACTTATCCGAGGCTGCGCTATCGCTACTTCCGGCCGTAACACTGTTACCAAACATCATTCACTTGCACGACATAAGACAGGCTTGAAGGGTTCTCCTATAAAAAATTGCTAATAAAAAGTGCTACACGAGTCAAAACTGTTGAGAACCACTGGTCTACGGTAAACTGTCTATTGTTCAATTGTTCATTTGTAAATTTCTATTGGTAAACTGGATTTTATTGAACTGTTAGTCCTTCCTTCACATGCGAAGATGACCAAAGAAGTCTCCGACGTCAGTAGTAGCCTTGACTTGAGTTGTGTTTTGTTTAAAGTGAGGGAATACTGTTCATTTCGTCAGCCTCACTCTCTCTTCCTTGCCCATCGTTTCCAAAGGCAAGACTAAGTCTAGACGACTGGAAATAGACCAGGATGCATGAGATGACCAGCAGTGTTTTGGTCAGTCTCTCTTTGCTCTTTATGCGCTCCACGTCACAGGGGGGTGTGTTCGAAATTTTCACTGCGTAAATGTCACACAAACTTGGGGACTCCATCTCCGGGTTTGATTTCAGAGTTTGCCTTCCCTTTGATGAGTTGTCACTCAAAGTGTACGAGTCCAATCCCCCCGGGGTGCTGAGTGTTTGTTTGTTTGTTTTTTAAATTGCTTGTCTCAGCGTTTGCTGTGGATTGAACTTCAAGTCCACAAGCAAGGGATTGAACTCCAAGTCCACAAGCAAGGGATTGAACTCCAAGTCCACAAGCAAGGGATTGAACTCCAAGTCCACAAGCAAGGGATTGAACTCCAATTCCACAAGCAAGGGATTGAACTCCAAGTCCACAAGCAAGGGATTGAACTCCAAGTCCACAAGCAAGGGATTGAACTCCAAGTCCACAAGCAAGGGATTGAACTCCAAGTCCACACGCAAGGGATTGAACTCCAAGTCCACAAGCAAGGGATTGAACTCCAATTCCACAAGAAAGGGATTGAACTCCAAGTCCACAAGCAAGGGATTGAACTCCAAGTCCACAAGCAAGGGATTGAACTCCAAGTCTACAAGCTTAGACCACTGACTCAGTTTAGACCGCCGCTGGCTTTTGGTAATTTGTATACTGGTAAACTGTCTATTTGTAAATTTTGTATTGGTAAATTTTCTATTAGTAAATTGTCTATTGGTAAATTGTCTATTTGTAAATTGTGTATTGGTAAATTTTCTATTAGTAAATTGTCTATTGGTAAATTGATTATTGATAAATTGCATATGGTAAATTGTCTATTTTTAAATTGTCTAATGGTAAATTGTCTATTGGTAAATTGTCTATTGGTAAATTTTCTATTGGTAAATTGTATATTGGTAAATTGTATATTGGTAAATTGTATATTGGTAAATTGTATATTGATACATTTATTATTGATACATTTTATAATGTAAATTGTCTATTGGTAAATTGTATATTGGTAAATTGTCTATTGGTAAATTGTCTATTGGTAAATTGTCTATTTGTAAATTGTCTATTGGTAAATTGATTATTGACAAGTTGTATATGGTTAATTATATATCGGTGAATTATCTATTTGTAGATTCTAATAAAAAGGGCTTATTCGTCAAGTAGACTTTGAATTTGTTAAAAATAACAAAAAACAACTCATCCCGTGAGGCCGGAATATTGCAATCAAATGACCAGGGATTAAAATTAATATCTCTGCACAAAGGTGACTGTAGTATTACCAGTAATCAGCAGATGTGGATACGCAGCACATAATACATTTAGTTAGGTTTTGATTTTAGTTTACATGACTGTTAATTGTCTGTTCTTTCGTAATATTTTCAAATATAGCTAAAAAATAAAATAATTTAAAAAAAAATTAATGAATCAACTTCCATTAATGAAGGAAGTTTCCCGGAATAGGTATTCATTAATAAAATTATGTTCAATACATATTTTTTTCCTGTATAAACTAAAATAAGAATTCAAAATGGTATGTTAAAAGCACAATTTAGGGCTACCTCGTGTGTTAAACTGACAGAATATCAACGTACCGTTTAGGGCTACCTCAGCCAACGATGCTGATAAGTCTTCTTGGTTGTCTGCCATTTTTTTTAAAAACAATAATTAATTAATTAATTAATTAGAGCAACCTGTGCGAAGCCCACTTTATTTGAAATAAGGTTAGTCAAGTGAGAGCGAAGCTTTGAAACGGACTGGTTTGCTTTGCGTTTAGCTTTATCTTTTAAAGAGCACACAAAGATCTAAACTTTTTTTTGACGTGCATTCTGATTAGGAAGATAAAATAACGGTATCCAAAAATAGCATAAGAAGCATTATCAGATTGTTTTACGAATAGGTTAATGATAATCTGTTTTCTCGGACAAAGCACTTTGAGTGCTGGAAAGCTCTGATCAAACACTGACATAGTTCAATTTCATCTAATGTACCTTGTCTAAATTTATCACATTTTAAACTGAGACTGTTGATTGTTTCAAATACTGTACCTTAAATGATTTTATTTTCATTTGATAAAATTTTGCTTGAATAGATCCGATACGCATCTCCATATTTCACTGTATCATTTTAAATGCATTTAATTTGTTATTTTATTTATTAATTTCAAACTGAGACTATTGATAGTTGAGAAACCTGTTCTCGAGTCGATTTTTAAAAAAAATCATTTGACACACCTACCGTTATTTCAACTAAAAGTTCTAAGTCCTTTAATGTCTACGAGTTGATTCAATATGCACTGTAGTAAGCAAGGCAATACGCTTAAAAAATGTTAACACAGAAACGTAGAGAGTAATTAACAATATCATCATAGCAGGTAACTGTATTCTAATCATATAACATCAGGCTAAAGTTCTGACTATATGTTAATTCTATCTATACCTGAAGTAGTTACATTGTTAGAAACGATACATGCAATTAATTGCTGGTCTATTCAGTGAATATGGAATGTCAACAAAGAAATTATATGTGTAACTCAAGAATCAAGTCAAAGCATTCCATGATACTTGGCGCTATAGATGTAACTTGAGACTTTGGGAATTAATATAAAATGTGTATCCTTAAATTGATATTATATTTCATTAAACAGTTTTACAAATTTATTATTTTTAAATCCAACCAATGGGGCTGTTTTTTAATTAAAATGAAATTTCTTCGAATTGTACAAATCTTGTCAGTGCATAATGTCTAAAATAAATGTATTGGTCTAATTTTTAGTATAATCTTTTTCTAGAAGGGTGATATTCACATGAAGGCTGTCACTTAAGTGACCCACCTTTGGTGATGCCTATGGAGACGGAATTGGTCATGCTAGAGATCACGTATGTGCCCCCTCCCCTTCATTAGGAATGTGGCAATCCCTTGTGGACAGCAGAAATATCTCCAAAAGACTAATAATTTGTAAAGTGGACCGAAAATCCATTATCTGATCTGAGAACTATTTAACACTTAGATTAGTTGTGATTACATCCAAATATAGCAAAGTATTTGATGAAATTCATTTGTCTAAGCACACAATCATTTATTGAAACCAGTTACCCCGTTATCAGATTTAGGGCGCCTAAAATGATGACTATTTCAAACATTGTGACCTAATTATTAAAATACGGAGGAGCAGACAAATAAAGCGTTAATTAGAAGATATTCGTTTAAATCTGCAAGTGTTAAGCCAAATGGCAGAGGATGCGCAAAAAGAACCCAAAGAAGGGCAGCCGCGACTACAGCCACTCCATGATCAGATGAGACTGCTGCCACTCTAATGACCATCCGAAATACTCTCACTTTAGAATCAACTGAGTCTGCTCCCATTAGGATCTATTGAGACTGCTGCCATTTCTGGATCTAATGAGACCTTTGCCATTCCAGGATCTACTGAGCCTGCTGCCATTTCTGGATCTACTGAGACCTTTGCCATTCCAGGATCTACTGAGACTGTTGCAATTCCAGGATCTACTGAGACTGTTGCAATTCCAGGATCTACTGAGACTGCTGCCATTCCAGGATCTACTGAGACTGCTGCCATTCCAGGATCTACTTAGACTGTTGCCATTCCAGGATCTACTGAGACTGCTGCCATTCCAGGACCTACTGAGACTGCTGCCATTCCAGGATCTACTGAGACTGCTGCCACTCCATGACCACCCGAGATAATGTCACTTTAGAATCAGCTGAGACTGATGCCATTCCAGAATCAGATTGATAAGTCATCCGAGGATTTACAAATAAAACAAAAGCTATTCCATAGTCTGACATTGAAGGAAAGGTGACAACGAAAACTCTATACAACAAAATTAAGAACTCCATCTTCTCTAGCTTATTACTTTTCAAAAATACTCTTTTATCAAAAGTTAGTTTTATAAAGGTGCAAGAGCTCTGCCCAATACTTAGGTGACAGTGCGTCAAATCACATATCTGTCAGTGACAGGTTCATGCTCAATATTTAGGTGTCAGTGGTCAACAGTCACCTATATTTCAGTTTGACAAGTTAATAAAACTCGAACGAGCGTGGGCGTATTACAGCTTTGACAATATCTGGATACATCACTGAGACAAATCAGATGCATGTGATAAACCTCATATCATGCCACGATAACATTATCACGCAACAGTTGCTTGTGACTCCCGTGCCATGGGACATTCAGTCAAACACATTTCAGATAGATGGAAACGAAAGTTTAAACGGTGGTTAGATTTATATGTCTCTTAAGAACTAAAATTGCAAGCTGAATGCAATGAAACGAGCTTGAAATAACATGATGAAAAGGCGTCTGGGAGATCTATTTGAGAGTTGTCAATGTTAAGTAAACTTGTTTTGTGTCTATAAACTTGGTCGGTTTTGTAAACTTTGTTGGTTTTCTGTAAATTTGGTTGTTATCTGTAAACTTGATTGTTTTCTGAAAACTTTTTGGGTTTCTGTAAACTTGTTTGTTCGCTGTATACTTGTTGGGTTTCTGTGAACTTGAATGTTTTTTGTAAAACTTGTTTGTTCTCTGTAAACTTGATTGTTTTCTGTAAACTTGTTTGTTCTCTGTAAACTTGATTGTTTTCTGTAAACTTGTTTGTTCTCTGTAAACTTGTTTGCTTTCTGTAAACTTGTTTATTCTCTGCTAACTTGTTTGTTCTCTGTAAACTCGATTGTTTTTTGTAAAACTTGTTTGTTCTCTGTAAACTTGATTGTTTTCTGTAAACTTGTTTGTTCTCTGTAAACTTGTTGGGTTTCTGTAAACTTGTTTATTCTCTGCTAACTTGTTTGTTCTCTGTAAACTTGTTGAATTTCTGTAAACTTGCTTGTTTTCTGTAAACTTGTTTGTTCTCTGTAAAATGTTTGTTCTCTGTATACTTGTTGGGTTTCTGTAAACTTGTTAGGTTTCTAAAGACAGCTAATGCTATCGCCATTGACGAGTCCCTTTACTTTCCTTAACGTGTTGTAACTCAACAGGTTTCAACGCAGATCTCCATTCAAGAATGTCCTGTCCAGTTAGTTCAATAAATCCCTTACCTAAATTATCCCGGGATCGATGTTTATGTTCTGGAGGGGGTAATAGTTTAATATTCTGAAAAGATATTGTCGTGTGCCACCAACTTAACAGACTTAAAAGAAATGATGAGAGGGGAATAAACCCATGTAATCGACCCCCATCCCCCGCTTGTCTCACTCTCAAAGTAACTAACACTTTACGACGATGAGCAGACGAATCGATGGGATGAAAATGTGTCCAGGTCACTCAACACCATCATGGGTCTTAAGCTGAATCTCAGTCGGGTGTACGATGTTGCCTGCACACCTTGTGGTCATCTTGGTCAGCCTGGGCACGTATGCACATGTTTACGTCACTGCACAGGTATGGTCAAAGTTATGATAATCATGTTCATTATAATTAGTCAATAATCCCACTAATCTTTGCAGATTAAAAAAAAAGAAGCTTTATCGCTATTTCAACAATATTAACAACTAGTTTTGTAGCTATACAGACCTTTGACATTTGTTTCACCATTTTCTACACCCCCGCCCCCCCCCCTCTTATTTTGCATTTTTAGCCTAATAATTTCTAAATTGTGAATAGATTTTTCAACAATATTAACAACTAGTTTTGTAGCTATACAGACCTTTGCCATTTGTTTCACCATTTTCTACACCCCCGCCCCCCCCCCCTCTTATTTTGCATTTTTAGCCTAATAATTTCTAAATTGTGAATAGATTTTAAACGTATATATGTAAATGAAAAACGATCAGATTTAAGAAATAGCGGCGTGGTGATAGACTAACTCATTAGACATTCATGTTCAATTTAATAGCAATTCTGCCTCAGACTCTGTCAACATTAAACAGCGTGGAATAGTGTTGGTTAAACTTAGCCTTCACCTTTCCTGAAACACCTTCACAAACACCTTCACAGACACCTTCACAGACACCTTCACAGACACCTTCACAGACACCTTCACAGACACCTTCACAGACACCTTTACAGACACCTTCACAGACACCTTCACAGGCACCCTCACAAACACCTTCACACACACCTTCACAAACACCTTCACAAACACCTTCACAAACACCTTCACAAACACTCGCGCACGCACAACAAAAATACGCGAACACAAACAAACACCTACATGTGCGCAATCACACAGCCACTCTCTCACACACACACAAACCTGCACACAAGCCTGTTTTAAACTGACAATATTGCCCACGTATTTGCCCCGTCCCAGACCCCAGTTTTAAACTGACAATGTTGCCCACCTATTTGCCCCGTCCCAGACCACCGACCCGAGCGCCAACCTGTGCAATGGCGGCACGACCTACGAGTACGACATGGGCAACGATACGACCGTCACAACCCTGAGCCCAACACTTGACCCCCAGAAGGACAACAGCACCATGAGATGCAAGGTCGTCTTTAAAACTAGCGACCACTATCTCGTGGCCCTGGTTCAAGACAAGTAAGAATGTGTTTACCCCCCCCCCCAAAAAAAAAAATATATATAAAAAAATTAACATTCTATTTTTACCTCCATGGGCCCACGTTCTGGAACCAGCTCCTCTTCCATATCCGTCATTGTGAAACCTCGTCAAAAAAAAAATATATATATAAAAAAATCACCATTCTATTTTTACCCGTATTACTTGACTTACTTCACTAAAACTCTGTCTTACCTTTCATGTTAACTTTAAAGTCATATATGTACCGTTAGACCAAAACTTTATGGTACATAAAGATTGTTAAAAATTGCTTTTATTTTGGTATTCCGCTAGTCAATTTGACCTGGAGCAGGTGGGGAAGGTCGGCTACTGCCGTGTGAACTGGACGTGCGTGGACGGCAAGGGGTTCTGTGATGACATGGAGTTCAACCATTTGGCCGTCTACATCGTCCCACCCAGGAGTGTCTTTAGTCTTTACTTCAACAATAACGTCCTCATCTCTAAGACCGGAATTGACGTGAGTCATGGCAGCGCAAAGTCGATTTTGGTCTCACTGTTGGTCTTAATGATAGTCTTAGTCATGGGCGCCCGCAGGGGGGGGGGCAAGGGGGGCACTTGCCCCCCCCTGGATTGATTGGATAAAAAATTTTTAGACAAAAATAGACAAAAAATTTATTAAAGTAAAGAGAAAATAAAGAGAAAGTAACTAAGCTGATGTCCTATCCGTTCGTTCACCATACAAATACGCTACAGTAAATTAAAACTATATTGAAACATTACTAAACAATTTTTGCCCCCCCCCCTTGAAAGTTAAACGAATTTTTTTGCCCCTCCCCCCAGAAAGTTTTTTGCGGGCGCCCATGGTCTCAGCGATGGTCTTGATGTTGGTCTCATTGTAGCTATTAATCTCAGTGTTGGTCTTAATAAGCTGAATGATAATTTCCGTAATAAAAGTTTCGTAAATGTTGCCCCTGTATTTAAACGCGCACCCCCCCCCACACACACACACACTTTTCCCACGTCACACAAGTTTATTCCATATTCTTCATTTATACTTTCAACCCGTGTTTAATAAAAGATATGGGGAAAAAAAATTAATTTCACTTGACACAAAATTAATTTTTGATGTCTTCCACTCTTGTCCAAAGCAGATGGCTATGTCTCTTTTATTTCAACATATAGCAAATTGATAACATCTTCTCAATCAGCAAGCACTATGGTGGGATGGTGGGACACCCTTACGATTTAGCCCAACGGTTCTCAAAGGGGTCGCCGAAGACCATCGGAAACTTATATTTATGAAGTAGCAACGAAAATAATTTTATAGTTGGGTGTCAACACAATATGAGGAACTGTATTAAAGGGTCGCGGCATTAGGAAGGTTGAGAACCACTGTTTTAGACGAAGATAAATAAGACGACCTAGCTTTTCAGACCCCCGAGGTGGTTCATTATTTAATAGATAATGGCACACTTGTATATTTTTATGTGAATTATTGTTGTACTTTATGTTCCAAAAGATGATTAGCTTGATGGCCACGTAGCTGCGTTGTAGTTAGAACGATGTTTGGCCAGAATGGTCTCATCTCTTAGCTACGTTGTAGTTAGAACGCTATTTGGCCAGATTGATGTCGGCGCGTCTTAATAGGCAACGCAAAAATAGTAAAACTGAATTATTGCACACGTTTATTGTAATGTAAAAAATGACATGGATGTAATAGATTATTATTCATGTGTTAAACACTTTTAAAGTTTGAACATTTTGATGTTGTAGATCACATATCAGCCATTAATTTTAAATTAATAAAAATTATTTTTCGCCAAATCTGCATTGTTAAATATTTCAGCTCACTATGATTGGAGAAACATGTCTAAATCTTGGTTCGGAGATTATAGAAAAATTGAGAAATGTTGAGTCAGAGATTACATAAACGTGGCGAAATGTTGGGTCGGAGATTACAGAAAAATTGTGAAATGTTGGTTCCGAGATTAGATAAACATGGCGAAATGTTGGGTCGGAGATTACAGAAACATTGAGAGATGTTGGGTCAGAAATTACAAAAACACCTGGCGAAATGTTAGGTCTATATAAAAGAAACACTGAGCAATGTTGGGTCAGAGATTAAAGAAAGATTGAGAAATGTTGGTCCGTGGTTTATAAAATATGTACAGGTTTCTTTGGTGAGAGATTAGATGACTATATAGAAATATTTGGGTCAAAGATAACATAACATGACGGCATATTGTGTTAGAGATTAGAGAAACATAGAAACATAGCGGGGCAGAGATTGGAGAAACATGTAGAACGTTTGGGTTACAGATGTGGAGAACTATAGACCAGCCAATAGAAAATGATGAATTCAATGCTACAAAATTTCTTTTATTCTATTTTTGGCCATTAAACCAAATATTTTTTTTTTTCTTTAGGCTTTCATTGGTAATTTCGTAAACGTCAATAGAACACAGAGGTCATCCCAGGGGGGTGTGTGGTCCATGTCCAATTTTTTGACCTACATCACACCGATCATATCTGACGAGCATGAAGATGTCTACAAAGAGGCTTGCAATATCACCACAGTTCCGTGATCCAGCCGTAGATTGTAAGTGGACAAATCTAACCCCCAAAGAAACACATTGGTCTCAGTCTGCACAGCAAACACATTGTTCTCTATCTGTACAGCAAACACATTGCGTCTCAGTCTGTACAACAAACACAACGGTCCCAGTCTGTACAGCAAACACATTGGTCTCAGTCGGTGCAACAAACACATTGGTCTCAGTCGGTACAACAAACACATTGGTTCAGTCTGTACAACAAACACATTGGTTCAGTCTATACAACAAACACATTGGTCGCAGTCTGTACTTGTGCCTCAGTCTGTACAACAAACACATTGCGTCTAAATCTGTACAACAAACACATTGCGTATCAGTCTGTACAACAAACACATTGGTCCCAGTCTGTACAACAAACACATCGGTCTCGGTCTGTACAGCAAACACATTGCGTCTCAGTCTGTACAACAAACACATCGGTCTCGGTCTGTACAGCAAACACATTGCGTCTCAGTCTGTACAACAAACACATCGGTCCCAGTCTGTACAACAAACACATTGCGTATCAGTCTGTACAACAAACACATTGGTCCCAGTCTGTACAACAAACACATTGGTCTCAGTCTGTACGCCAACTTCCGTCACATTTCTTTCACAAAGAGTTTGAGTTGGAAGCAGGTGTGAAGAGTTGGAGAGGTGCACATCAACTCAAGAGACACAATTTCAGGCACGAAAAACCAGTGCTCAAATATTCCATTAAAGCTGTACAGTATTTTAGTTTCACCAATATCGCGGGCTCGGCTACAAACATGGGGTAAACAACATGGGAAGAGTTTGAGCGAGTTTAGGGTTACAGTTGGGCTCGGAATCATAAGTTAGATTTTGTTTTAATGGACAAGCTTCACTTTTTTTTTTGTATTTTAATTCTGTTGATCTAATTATTGTTGTCCACAAAATAAGATTAAATCAAGATGTTTATACTTTAAATAACAAACCTCAGGTCATTAGACCAGCGGTTCTCAACCTGTGGGTCGCGACACCTTTGTGGATCGAATGACCCTATGACAGGGGTCGCGAATGACTATCGGAAAAAAAAAACTTTCAGTTATGTAGATGAAGCGAAAATAATTTTGTGTTTGGGGGTCGGCACACCTTGGGGAACTGTATTGAAGCGTCGCGCCATCAGAAAGGTTGAGAACCACTGCACTAGACTAATGCCAATTTTAATTTAAAGACCAGTTTCTTTTAATTTCCTATATCTAATATATCTAGAGATTATTTTTTCTGCAGATATTGTGTTTAACTCTTCTCGACAGATTTCAAGTTTTAAATTGACAGGCAGAGTCCAATGATGTGATACAACACATGGAGTAAACGTTGATAGCTGTGACATGATTGTGTCAGTTATTTGATTTAAATGTATGTTGTGTGGTATGCTGTAAGAGATTGTGAAGTGTTGCATGTGGTTTTTCATGATGTATGTAGTTCATTTTGTTATAAATGGTGTTATATGTTTTATGTGTCGTTTTTGCCATTTTTAGTTATGTGAACAAGACATATGAACAATGAACTGTTTACAGATCTAAAAAAATAACTAGTCTCATTTACCATCTGCGAATTTCGCACAAACATGTGCTATTGCGTCAGCTATTGCTTCAAACAATTACATTTTCTTTCATGCTCCATTTTGTAAAAAGGTAAAATCTGTACCATTTCGCGCGACTTTAATGACATGTCTGCACTCCCATCTGGCGCGTGCCTTACATTCGAAGATTGTTCAACTACCTAACATGGGCGCGTGGTGGGCGGGGGGGGGGAGGGGGGTTGGGAAATCGATCTGTGGCGTCTTGTTGACGGCCCCTTGGTGTAAGACTTCAATATCTCACGTCACGTTCCAATCAAGTGAGACAAAATCAATGGTCACGTAATCAGGTTTTAAAAGCTCACCGTGGCTTACTTAATAATTAATTAACTAAATTTTAACCCCTCACCCTTCGGCTTGACGAAAGTTAAGTTAATTACCGGTATGTAAAGAAAAGGTAATTTTAAATAATCGGTAACGGAAATATAATCGAAGAAATTTTGCTAATTTTACAGGTGTCTTTCAACAAATAAATTTGATTTCATGCTATTAATAGATTTTATAACCATTTTTTTTCCCGTTAGAACGTTATGAAAGCTAAGATATCAACTTGGTTTGTATGGGTGTTACAATGTATGAACATGAGAACCTCCATATCGGGGCTAAAACTTGCAACTAAAAGAATTTCATCCAGGAAAAGTATTATTTCTCCAGTTCTTTCCGTGAACTTAAAATGTTTGTTTTTTTGTTGTTGTTTTTTGTTCCAAATCAAAATAAATGTTCTTGATTGATTACGAAAGAATTTGATGATGTAAAACAACAACCAACAAACAAGGAAAGACACCGGTACAAAATATCAATTTTCTTTTACCAATGTAACTACAATCTATTACAAACATTATCGTGCCTTTGTACATGTGTTGACAGGCAATTTTTTAATATATATATATACACACATTAGTATATGGTATTAATGCCTGCAGTGACTCTGTAAAAACTTCCTATACACTATTTTTCCCATGACTCCGTGAGCAATCGCCTGTCTTCTGTCGTGAGCAATCACCTGTCTTCTGTCGTGAGCAATCGCCTGTCTTCTGTCGTGAGCAATCACCTGTCTTCTGTCGTGAGCAATCGCCTGTCTTCAGTCGTGAGCAATCACCTGTCTTCTGTCGTGAGCAATCACATGTCTTCTGCCGTGAGCAATCGCCTGTCTTCTGTCGTGAGCAATCACCTGTCTTCTGTCGTGAGCAATCGCCTGTCTCCTGTCGTGAGCAATCACCTGTCTTCTGTCGTGAGCAATCGCCTGTCTTCTGTCGTGAGCAATCACCTGTCTTCTGTCGTGAGCAATCGCCCATCTTCTGTCATGAGCAATCGCCAGTCTTCTGTCGTGAGCAATCACCTGTCTTCAGGAAACACAACACATGGTGTTCACGTGGTGCTGTATATGTCGACATGTTAATCAAAGGGACATAACCCACCGTATGGCCTTTCCAACATCTTTTGATCTGGTGGTTACGTTTGTTTCACAAATATCATGTTATGGCTTATGGTTTAAGTTATGAGTAGTTAATGAATAATGAATAAGTTATGAGTAGTTAATGAATAATGAATAAGTTATGAGTAGTTAATGAATAATGAGTAAGTTACGAGTAATTATTGACTTTTTTTTTTAGACGAGAGTACAAATTGCCCGGTAATAAGCGTGTCCAGGTGTGTTCGAGTCATAGAGAAAATGCGAGACAAGAGATGAAATTAAGAGAGGTTCTCTTCAGTGAGAAAGATGGAAAAAAAACATATTTAGAAAAAAAAAATATCTAAAATATCGTATGACTTTTGATTTACATCTAAAATAAAAATAATTTTCAAGGAAACTATCAATGAGAGAGATAGAGAGACAGAGAGAAAAGGAGAGACAGAGAGAAAAGGAGAGAGAGAGAAAAGGAGAGAGAGATATAAAGAAAGAAAGAGAGGGAGAACTAGAGGTAGTCAGAGAGAGAGAGAGATGAGAATGAGAAAAGGAGAGATAGATAAAGAAAGAGAGAGGGAGAGAGCTACAGGTAGTCAGAGAAAGAGAGAGAATGAGAAAGAGTGAGAAAAGGTGATATAGATAAAGAAAGAGAGGGAGAACTACAGGTGGTCAGAGAAAGAGAGAGATGAGAGAGAGAGAGAGAGAGAGAGAGAGAGAGAGAGAGAGAGAGAGAGTGAAAGAGAAAGAAAATAATACAAACGAAGATAGTTGAGGTGGTATAGCGAACTTTAAATTGATAATATTTAGACACTACAAAAAAAAAGGGAGATGGGTGGTAGATGCATGCTGTTTGTAGACTAACGTGATACATCCCGGTTCATATTGGCGGCAATTAGTTAACTTAATCCAGAGAGTAACAGGGATGCACACTGCCAGCATTGAATACTTGTCCGAGAATCAATTCAAACGTTGCTTGCTGACTGTGGCCGATCTCTCCCTCGCGGTTGCAAGAGTGGCAAGAGGGCCTTCCGTTACAGGTATGTAGTATGGCTCAGCCGAAAAGATGGCGCTTGCTGCGTGAAGCTATAAAGAGCAGCTGCCTAGGCGTCCCGCCAGTGGCTAGTAAACAGGACGTGGTTCAACCACAAGAGATGGACAAATCCCTTGTAAAACGAAATCCCATATGTTGCTAGTTTTCAAAAGAGAAGTTTTTTGTTAACAAAAAAAAGTCAAGGCGGTTTGCACGAAACATTATATAAGAAATAGTATAACAAGGTATGTTGAAGCTTGAATAGTGATACAGAAAAAGAAGAAGAGAACTTTTCGACTAAGAGCCTTCCTAAGCAGACAGGACAAAATGAAAAAAAAATAATGACAAGAAATAGAAACTAGTTCAAATAATTTAAGGGTTCGCGCCATTATCATTGCCGGAAGTTGAGTCTTCCAAAGCATGGTGTAAACTCGTGCTATAACGCAACCCTGCTATTGACAATATCCGATATAAAGACACACCCCCCCCCCCAATTATAGTGTTCTACCGGGGGTTATATAACATCAACCCACCATGTAGAAATACATTCACATATTCAGGCTGAGAAAACGTGGCCCTGGGAAACACAGAATATGATTTATGTCTCCATTTTTTTTGTTCGCGAACTGATGGGAGAAATGTAATTGTGTTTGATGTGTTGAGCTTTTTATGCGAAAAAAAATTATTTACTTTGATCAACGGTAGCATTACGTAAGTGATATCAACGGTTGAAATGATTATGCACTTTTATTGAACATCCTGCTCTCAGGGTCCACGAGTTCTCCTCAGGTGATTGGGTCTCGTGACGATTGTCGGTCACGACAGGTGCCCCAGCCCTTGATGTCCCCAAAAACAGTTCCCATGATCCCCTTATTTAAATACTTCCTCCCATTCATATGCTGACAGAAAAAACAAACATCTTTCATACACCGACACTTGAACAGCTGACCTGACTTAACACACGTAGAGGCTCTGACAGTGTAATTGGCTACCACAATGCTGACCACCCACCTTCTCCTTGTGCAGGTCAGTGCCGCCCTGATCTGTGACGCCACTGCTGGAAATGGTGAATCCGCATCAGACACAGAGGTATTTTATTGTTGCTCATAATGTTCCTTTACAAGAGACAGGTATTTTATTGTTGCTCATAATGTTCCTTTACAAGAGACAGGTATTTTATTGTTGCTCATTATGTTCCTTTACAAGAAACAGGTATTTTATTGTTGCTCATTATGTTCCTTTACAAGAGACAGGTATTTTATTGTTGCTCATTATGTTCCTTTACAAGAGACAGGTATTTTATTGTTGCTCATTATGTTCCTTTACAAGAGACAGGTATTTTATTGTTGCTCATTATGTTCATTTACAAGAAACAGAGGTATCTTATTGTTGCTCATGATGTTCATTTACAAGAGACAGGTATTTTATTGTTGCTCATTATGTTCATTTACAAGAAACAGAGGTATCTTATTGTTGCTCATTATGTTAATTTACAAGAAACAGAGGTATCTTATTGTTGCTCATTATGTTCCTTTACAAGAAACAGAGGTATCTTATTGTTGCTCATTATGTTCCTTTACAAGAAACAGAGGTATCTTATTGTTTCTCATTATATTCATTTACAAGTGACAGGTATTTTATTGTTGCTCATTATGTTCATTTACAAGAGACAGGGGTATCTTATTTTTGCTCATTATGTTCATTTACAAGAAACAGAGGTATCTTATTGTTGCTCATTATGTTCCTTTACAAGAAACAGAGGTATCTTATTGTTGCTCATTATGTTCCTTTACAAGAAACAGAGGTATCTTATTGTTGCTCATTATATTCATTTACAAGTGACAGGTATTTTATTGTTGCTCATTATGTTCATTTACAAGAGACAGGTATTTTATTGTTGCTCATTATGTTCATTTACAAGAAACAGAGGTATCTTATTGTTGCTCATTATGTTCCTTTACAAGAAACAGAGGTATCTTATTGTTGCTCATTATGTTCCTTTACAAGAAACAGAGGTATCTTATTGTTGCTCATTATATTCATTTACAAGTGACAGGTATTTTATTGTTGCTCATTATGTTCATTTACAAGAGACAGGTATTTTATTGTTGCTCATTATGTTCATTTACAAGAAACAGGTATTTTATTGTTGCTCATTATGTTCCTTTACAAGAGACAGGTATTTTATTGTTGCTCATTATGTTCCTTTACAAGAGACAGGTATTTTATTGTTGCTCATTATGTTCATTTACAAGAAACAGAGGTATCTTATTGATGCTCATTATGTTCATTTACAAGAGACAGGTATCTTATTGTTGCTCATAATGTTCCTTTACAAGAAACAGGTATTTTATTGTTGCTCATTATGTTCCTTTACAAGAGACAGGTATTTTATTGTTGTTCATAATGTTCCCTTTACAAGAAACAGAGGTATCTTATTGTTGCTCATTATGTTCCTTTACAAGAGACAGGTATTTTATTGTTGCTCATTATGTTCATTTACAAGAGACAGGTATTTTATTGTTGCTTATAATGTTCCTTTACAAGAAACAGCGGTATCTTATTGTTGCTCATAATGTTCCTTTACAAGAAACAGGTATTTTATTGTTGCTCATTATGTTCCTTTACAAGAGACAGGTATTTTATTGTTGCTCATAATGTTCCTTTACAAGAGACAGGTATTTTATTGTTGCTCATTATGTTCCTTTACAAGAGACAGGTATTTTATTGTTGCTCATTATGTTCCTTTATAAGAGACAGGTATTTTATTGTTGCTCATAATGTTCCTTTACAAGAGACAGGTATTTTATTGTTGCTCATTATGTTCCTTTACAAGAGACAGGTATTTTATTGTTGCTCATAATGTTCCTTTACAAGAAACAGGCATTTTATTGTTGCTCATAATGATCCTTTACAAGAGACAGGTATTTTATTGTTTCTCATAATGTTCCTTTACAAGAGACAGGCATTTTATTGTTGCTCATAAAGTTAATTTACAAAAAATCAGAGGTATTTTATTATTGTTCAAAACGTTCATTTACAAGAAACAGGGGTATTTATTATTTAAATTCGGCTTAATGCTATTTATTGTTAAAATGACTAACTACCTATAAAACACATTGGATCATCCAGTCCCAAATTCTGCACTCGAACAAACTATATCGTGTTCATACAATTAAAAATTACACATGTAATTAATCTACACAATAATTTATCAGACGGTACATATTAGTTACGGCATAAAAAACATACGAACAAGAATGAGGTCTACTAATAATATCGGGCGCTCGTATACCAACACATTGATTATTTCAAGAGCTGGTGATAGCTCTGCCTTTATGCATGTCTCGGGTATTTTTTAGATGCATTCCACATAAATGTTAATATTTATAGAAGAAAAAAATTGCGAGCTTATATGAACATTTCTACACATCAATACAAACGAGCGTTCATAGACTCGTGTAGTTAACATGATCCACCTGTGTGTGTTTCTTGAAATAGTTTATTTTCAGGAATGAACCTCGACTGGTAACTCATGTTGCAGTAATATCTTTAACTTACGTATGGGGAATGTCACGCAAGACACACGAGCCTCAATTAATGCATCTACGCGAACATCTCGCGGCAGTCATTTCACTGATTCGCACATTTATACTTGAGATATGTTAACAAGCGTAGTTCAAACTAGTTATGTTAATAATCTTTTGTTTGTTTTGTAGACCGCTGTTTCGTTTTTAGAAATCAGACTTTTAACCGGCTACCGGTTTATTATTATTTTTTTTTTTTACAATGCATTTGCGAATGTTTGACAGAGCACAGAAAATATTGAACTATGTTATAAGAATCAAAAGCTGAGGTTGAAATTTAATTTTTAGAACAGTTAAACGCAACTCTGATTTTGATACCGCACTTGACCTATTTTATGACCAGTGACCAAAAAAAACTGTGGCAAGGCGATCCGCACTGTGGCAAAGATGTAAAACTGTGATCCACGGCAGGACACCCGCCTGCAAAGACAAGGCGGACAAAATTTCCTCCCTAGTGGCTGACAGCAAGTTTTTTTGTAAACGTTAAGTTTGTTAAGACGCGCGAAGCGAGGGCATGTTTTGTACATCATACTGTAGAGTACATGTTTTGTACATCATACTGTAGGTACATGTTTTGTACATCATACTGTAGAGTACATGTTTTTTACACCATACTGTAGAGTGCATGTTTTGTACACCATACTGTAGAGAGCATGTGTTGTACATCATACTGTAGAGTGCATGTTTTGTACATCATACTGTAGAGTACATGTTTTGTGCATCATACTGTAGAGTACATGTTTTGTACATCATACTGTAGGTACACGCTTTGTACATCATACTGTAGAGTACATGTTTTGTACATCATACTGTAGAGTACATGTTTTGTACATCATACTGTGGGTACATGTTTTGCACATCATACTGCAGAGTACATGTTTTGTACATCATACTGTAGAGTGCATGTTTTGTACATCATACTGTAGAATGCATGTTTTGTACACCATACTGTAGAGTACATGTTTTGTACATCATACTGTAGAATGCATGTTTTGTACATCATACTGTAGAGTACATGTTTTGTACACCATACTGTAGAGTTCATGTTGTGTGTGGCTGGACACAAAAAGAAGTTTTTTGGGAGTGCGCTCTTTTGAAGCAATAGCGCCTAAATTATGGAACAGTTTGCTTCAGCCTTTGAGGGAAATTAAAAATGATTTTAACAATCAATTAAGGGGCATTTAAAGACATTTTTCTTTAAATAGAGTTTATGACACCAGGGCGCTTTGAGCATGCTGGAATAGCATGCATACAAGCTCTATACAAGTAATCAAATCATCAAATTCTTTCTTTATTAGACGGCTTCACGCCGTGTTGGGGGTTTACAACACAGCTCGAGATGTGCCACCTTCTTGCCACTCTACAACAGTCTGACCTGTGGTCACTGCTGTGAACGATTCTTGCGTGCCGCCACCTTCATTGATTTAAAGATGGGACGCTTTTAAAAGAGTGTGTGTCCATCAGAACAAACGATCGACACTATTATGATTCTCAACATCTAGCCACGAGAGACCGCAAGTTCAGGACCTATGATGTTTCAAGACTGTAGGTCATTACGAGAGACCACCATTTTCAGGACCTATGTTACCAGACTGTAGGTCATTACGAGACACCACAAATTCAGGACCTATATTACCAGACTATGGGTCAATACGAGAGACCACCATTTCATGACATGTGTTTCCAGACTGAAGGTCATTACGAGAGACCAGAACTCCAGCACATATTTTCCAGACTGTAGGTCTTTTGCGTACCATCTTGAAATTTGCTTTAAACTAGTATTTTTTAAAGGGTCGTCTCGCCGTATATTTACTTGGAAAGCACTTAACTAGTACCACTGATAAAATTGTATCTAATCTTTTCTCTTTCTTAAGGTTCCTGACGAATTTGACGACACTGACTATTGGAACGCCTATGAATGGAACGATTATGATAATGATGGAGATGGTGAGCAGTCAGGTGGGCCAGGTGAAAGGACAGAGAGATCCCCAAGTAAACCAAATGAGAGGATGGAGAAATCACCAAGTAGACCAAATGAGAGGATAGAGAGATCACCAAGTAAACCAAATGAGAGGGTGGAGAGATCACCAAGTAAACCAAATGAGAGAATGGAGAGATCACCAAGTAAACCAAATGAGAGGATGGAGAGATCACCAAGTAAACCAAATGAGAGGATGGAGAGATCACCAAGTAAACCAAATGAGAGGATAGAGAGATCACCAAGTAAACCAAATGAGAGAATGGAGAGATCACCAAGTAGACCAAATGAGAGGATAGAGAGATCACCAAGTAAACCAAATGAGAGGGTGGAGAGATCACCAAGTAAACCAAATGAGAGAATGGAGAGATCACCAAGTAAACCAAATGAGAGGATGGAGAGATCACCAAGTACACCAAATGAGAGGATGGAGAGATCACCAAGTAAACCAAATGAGAGGATAGAGAGATCACCAAGTAAACCAAATGAGAGGATGGAGAGATCACCAAGTAAACCAAATGAGAGGATAGAGAGATCACCAAGTAAACCAAATGAGAGAATGGAGAGATCACCAAGTAAACCAAATGAGAGGGTGGAGAGATCACCAAGTAAACCAAATGAGAGGATAGAGAGATCACCAAGTAAACCAAATGAGAGGATAGAGAGATCACCAAGTAAACCAAATGAGAGGGTTGAGAGATCACCAAGTAAACCAAATGAGAGGGTGGAGAGATCACCAAGTAAACCAAATGAGAGAAGATATTCAAACATTTTTGGATAATTTACAAGCCCTGACAATGAAATAATTATTTTGTCCCCAGTACTATAGAGATACCTATTTAGTCAATTACTTGTATACTTTCTTTAGGCGTGAAATCTTCTATAAAAAAGTTGAATAATTTTGTTATTCACTTAACAAAAACTTGTTTTTAAAAAAAACTCAGCTGTCCTGGCTTTCAAAATAGTAAATGCTAAACTACACTAAATACATTTAACTTTGTATGTAAATCTCCAAGAAACAAGACCTCACCTAAACAAGTATGTACTTCATGCAATCTCATTTGAGATATGCCAATCTTTATCGTAACGCTTTTGCACTACTCTAACAACATATTTTTTTGTCCACCAACTTGAAATGTAACGTTTCACCACGCATACGTCCTACACTCCTACCTCTCAACTCTTACGAACACAAGGATTTTTAATGCCTAAAATTGTATTTTTTTAAAAATTACTTTGTGTATTATCTTGGTTAACATTTTTAAAAAATATTTTTTAGGGGGGGGGGGGTTATTTCATTGTTTTAATCGTTTGTCATTTTATAAAGAAAATCTTGAGATTTTTTGTTTTTTTCATTCTTTTTGAAAATAATATTTTTAATGCTTAAAATTGTATTTTTTTAAAAATTATTTTGTTTATTTTCTTGGTTAACATTTTTAAAAAATATTTTTTAGGGGGGGGGGGGTTATTTCATTGTTTTAATCGTTTGTCATTTTATAAAGAAAATCTTGAGATTTTTTGTTTTTTTCATTCTTTTTGAAAATAAATCTAGCAGCGCGAAAGGAAATGAATCTTGATTGAATTTTTTTTTAGTGTACATAAGTCTTAAGTTGACCATTAATTGTAGCACAGCTTCATATGCAGTATGATTACTTTAAATATCTCATACTACTCTCAAGGAATCGAATATATGCCACGTAGTTTTCCCTTTAAACGATACTTGTATTTAAAGAACTTTTACAAGATGATATGTAGCCACAATTAGGGTTTGAAGTGAAGGATTTTAAAAAGGCCAGAACCCTCTATACATTAAAACAGGAACAATAATGCCCTCAACCTTTAAACAAAAGCTCTAACTTATTCAAACCTTTAAACAAAAACCCTAACTCACTTAACTTTAAACAAAAGCCCTAACTCACTTAACTTTCAACAAAAGCCCTAACTCACTTAACTTTAAACAAAAGCCCTAACTCACTTAACTTTAAACAAAAGCCCTAACTCACTCAACCTTTAAACAAAAGCCCTAACTCACTCAACCTTTAAAATCTTCAAAGACCATCACGCCGTCTCCCTTACAACCAAAGACCCAAGTGGCCCGACGTCCAACATCGTTAAGCTAAAGACTGGCACTGTGCCAACTCCCCCCCCCCCAAGCACGCCACCAGTCACCCCCCCCCCTCCTGGTCTTTCTGCGCTGAACTTCTTACCAATGTTCTACCTAATGATCACTAACACTTTCAAAATATTTGGTCAACGCTGATAACAAAATATTTAAATAAAAATTTAAAAAACCCGCAGAGACCAAATTGAATATCACATTTCAACGATAAATTACGTCAAGTCCATATCCTAATTTTTTTTTTTTAATGTTTTTTTTTTGTTTTTTTTTTGTTGTTGTTTAACAATTAAAACAATTTGTTAAATATTTTTATTTAAGTTGATTATATTTTGGAAACACGATTTTTAATTATTACTTTATTTCCATTACAAATGTGCAGTCATCTCCTAGGGCAGATTAGTAATTTATATATACAAAAGAAGTGCAGTCGTTAAACCAAAAATTTAAAGAAATGGCTCCAGTGAACTAAGACATTTAAGTCCCAGGTCACTTTTGACACTCAGGAGGGCATTATGACCCGATGTCTGGCGTCATTGAAATGTGCTTCAAAATAATTAGACAACGCCCACATCCGGGTGTCATCACACCATCGATAACCCAGTTATTACATTTAAATTTATTTAAAATTTCTTTTTTTTTTTTCCTCTACATTTTACTTTAAAAAAACTGATCCACTAATTTATTGTCGGAGTTCGCTCGAGTTGTGTCCATCTTATCCACATCGTGTGCAACACTGAAGCCCCTTTGAAGGGGAGATGACAAGAGAATAATTTAAAACAAAATGTCAACACATAGTTACTTGTTAGTGAATGTAACTGCGTTTAGTTCACGAAATTAGACTGGTCGATTCAGGGATTTAGACCGGGGGGTTGAGGGAGTGTGGGAACTCACCCATGTTCTCTACTTCCGTAATAAATGTGTGTTTATTTTTAAGGAAAAAACAACAACAACACTACAGTAGTACCGGAACGCCGTTCCTTTGCGTTCCTGCAAATGACGTAACTAATTGTTTCACGTTTTCTTCCAGTGTACAATTTGAAAGTTCTGAACTTATTTCAATAAAAATTAATCGACAATCCAAACAATTATAATCATTTTTTGGGGGGGAAATTGAGATGAAAGAATTTTAAGGTACAAAATATGAAGGACTGCGTTCAGGTGGCGTGAAGAAAATAGTGAAAATAGATGTGTTTGTGCTTCAAATGAAAAGGCGCGCCAATTAGAAGGACGTAACGGCCAATATGCCTTCTTGAGCAGACAAAACTAAACAAGAGACAACAAATAATTAGAAAGAAAACAAAACAACCAAAAATCAATAAATTATTTCTTATCAAACATAACTTCTGAACAACGTTATGTAGATCTCTGTTGAGAATTTAAACCTAATTTAGCTGATTAAAAAATGGTATAATTTAATCATTTCTATTGCTAGTAACTGTATAGATATTGACTAGGCATCATTTCAACATTTAAAATAAATAAATTTCAATGCAATGCAATTGTAGAAAAGAAAAAAAAAAGAGATGTATCTTAGCAGAAGTGTTTTGAGAAACAGTAAATAGATAACATGAGTTTCATTGTGGCTTGGCTTCAATAAACTGACAATTATTATTTAAACACAACGATGTATTTGTTTCTTTTCTGGTCGCACTGAACTTTTGAAATAGGTTGTACTTACCGCCTGTGAACTTCCGGGGCGCCGCTCTGTCGTCTTGGCGCCCGAAGAAGCTATAGCATGCGCAGCGGGCGCACAAGGGACAGCGGCTTCAAAACCAAGAAAGCCAACCCCCCCCCCCCCCCCCCCCCAAAAAAAAAAAAAACAAGTTGTGCCGACGTTCGGGAACGCTTTCAATGCACGACTTGGGACTGGCAGGCAGGGAGGCAGGGAGGGACCACCTGCGTACTCTTTCCATGCCAATGACGAACAGCTACAGCTTATCAAAGACACGTCACACATTATTTTACTGAATTTGGATACTAATAAAATTACATCTCCAGCCGTAGATGACAATGTGTATCGACGTTCTGTGTACCCATTATGTTTAGAAAGTTTATTTCATGAAAATTTTTGACAAGTTCACAGTCTTATAAAGGCTTTAGATGAATATTTTATAAATTAAGTGAGTTTTTTTTTTTTTTTTTTAAATTTTTACTCTATAGACAATTCAATTTTTTATAAAATTAAACTTTGAAATAAAGATTCACTAAAAATTAAAGGTGGTGTGTAAAGTCCTTTTTTTATAAATTAAGTGAGTTTTTTTTTTTTTTTTTTTTAAATTGTTACTCTATAGACAATTCAATATTTGATAAAATTAAACTTTGAAATAAAGATTCACTAAAACTTAAAGGTGGTGTGTAAAGTCCTTCATGAGTTTGTCAAGCACCTTCTTGGTTTGTCACGGCTAAACATTTAAACAGCTCGAAATTAAACAACCCTTTAAATAAAAAAAAAAAATAGTTCTTATAAATCATTTAGTAAATGTAACATTGAGCAATGAAGGTCGGGCTGAGAAATTGACCAAAACATGGACACTCGATAAGAATCCCACAATTCATGAATTCAGCGTAGAGATATTTCCTTTATCTTCTCCTTGACAAACGGGAAAAACACATTTTTGAGGGTTTAAAGGTTGGGGCTAAAAATTTGATAGAATATTTTGTCATCGTTGATGAGCCTCTGCGCCAAGTTTCAGCTTGATAGAATGACATGAAGTGAGTTAATTGGCCGTCAAAACTTTTTTCAACACCTGCCGAAGAATAACATGCACAAAAGCGTAGTTTAAATAAAGGATTTTTAAAAAAAATTATGGAAGATCATACAAATAAAATGATTATAAATTATACTCGGCTATAAATTACGTAACACAATTCAAAACTGGACCATTAGTCGATTCGTGCATTGCACATTAAATAACATTAGACACCATAACATAACTCTAAAATAACCTTAAAAATCACAACATAAGTCTAAAATAACCTTAGAAATCACAACATAACTTTAAAATAACCTTAGAAATCACAACATAAGTCTAAAATAACCTTAGAAATCACAGCATAAGTCCAAAGTCTAAAATAACCTTAGAAATCACAGCATAAGTCTAAAATAACCTTAGAAATCACAACATATGTCTAAAATAACCTTAGAAATCATAACATAAGTCTAAAATAACCTTAAAAATCATAAAATAAATCTAAAATAACCTTAGAAATCATAACATAAGTCTAAACTGTGCACCCTCTGTATCAGCGAACTGTAAAATCTAGTTACTTAAAAAAAAAACGTTATTTAAATATAAGAAATTCGTTTCAATGCATGAAAGGCCAACACAGCCCCAGTAAACCCATTCCCATTGTAACAAGACAAGCACTGGTTGGTAAGAATTATAGAGAAGACATCTAGAGACCGGAAGGCGCTGAGGGACATTTGTAATGCCCTTTGCTGCACTCGGAGTTGAAGACACAAGGAAGAAGAAGATCGTCGAGACTGACTTCAAGCCGTTTGAAAGAAAAAGTAAGGACAATTTTTTTGTCAAAGCCTGAAAAATGTACCCAACCAATTTTTTTTTTTTTAAAGTTTCAGCTGAAAGTCTTCATCGCCACAATAATAAAATAAACACAACATAGACTCAAATCCTAACTTGGATAAGGAGACTTGTTGAAGTCATTCAAATCTGATGTTCTGATAATTTATATATTTAAATGTTTACCAGTTGTTGAAAAGAGGGAAGGAATCAATAACAAACATTGACTTTAAGTTCTGGACATAGTTTATGAACACTATTGTAGGACAACATTTATTGTCATGTGTGCTTGTATGCTATTGGGCATTTCTTATCGAGATGCCTTTTGAAGAGAAACCATAATTAAACAACCCTTTCAAAAAAAAAATAGTTTTTCGTATGAATATATTATATGAAATGAAATATCGAACCATTGGATTGGACCTGAAATTTTGACAAAACATGCGTACAAAGTAACGGACTTTATAAGAATCCCATTTAGTGCTTTCCCCCTCCTCCTTTAACTCCACAATACTCGTAACGGCATATTTTTGGTTAACTCCCCTGAACTGTATTACTATTCTAATGACTCATCCGCTTTTACACCTGAGATTTATTTCACAAACTATTTCAGAGAAAGAAAAGAAAATATTACGAAATCAAGCGCACTTGCGATATTTTTTTTTTTTAAATCTCATTTAGTGCTGATATCGGGAATTTGATTTGGTGAAATCAGTGTCATCATATTTCCTCTATCTTCCCGTTGAAAAAAGAGGAAAAACTATTTTTTTTTTTTGGGGGGGGGGGGGTGGGTTGGGGGGGGGGGGGTGTAAATTTTTTTTTTTTGGGGGGGGGGGGGGGGGGTTGGTATAGGGGAGTGGGGCTGAAAATTTCTTAGAATGTGTTGTCATCGGTACCGAGTCTATGTGCCAAGTTTCATCTCGATATGCTGACGGGAACCGGGTCAACTAAATTTCCGAAGATTTTTGCCAGCCACGAACAAAAGCGAAATTATTATGAAGGGATACAAAAAATATCGTTCATCTGCTAGAATGTTTTACCAAGGTAGGAAAGCATTGTTCGGTGAGTATTCTATTCAAACTTAACCACTGACTTTGCAGTCAAGTGGACTGACTCCACACAACCCCAGCAATATCAGCGAACAAACAACAGTAAAACCTGAATTCAATTTCATAAAAACCCCTTAGCTGAAATGTGGTATCCGAGAGGGCAGCAAGAGGATGTGACAGTGAGAAAGTAGGTGAGAGAGAGCATCATATTTAATTCCAAGAAATAATCACAAAATGTTCCTAAATGAGCGGTCCCTTACTTACCATGACTGACATGTGTCTATAACAAACATTTATAATGGACTTATACAAATAAAATTACCGGCTAATAAAGAGTTATTCAGTACTCTTTTTCTGAGATTCTTTCCTGTGACCATTTTCCTGCAACTTATTTCCTAGCAAAAATTTGTGACTTTTTTTCCTGTGATTATTTTTTCCTAGTAAACTGTTTGACTTTTTCCCTAGCAAAATGTGTGACTTTTTTTCCTGCTCACACCACAAAAACCCCGTAGATGGTATGAGAATGTTCTGTATGGGGTCAATCTTTCATCAAAACAACAGTGTCTTCATCTCGTTGTGAGATACGCCCAAATTATACGTCAAAGCTCAGCATCCTAAATCATGCCAGGAGTGTTACACAAAAAAATGGTGCACAACGCCATTGTCGTGGGCAACACAATGGACAAGCCAGTAAAACCTGATAAATCTCATGGTGAGGGTCAATAGTTATTTACAGTAAACTTTATATTGGTCATAGAGTTGCTGAATACATTCTGAGGACCGGCCACAGGAATGATACAAGGCGTTTACTAAAGTTTAAAAAAATGCCATGGAATCTGTTCTAAGTTTCTAGATCATGAAATCAATTTTTTGTTTAAATTAGATCTTGTAGCCTCCTCTATCTCCTACCAACGTTACCGTAAGTGATGGGTGGTAACAGTGAACTCGCCTCTTACTAGTTGAGAAGTCTCGGAATTAGCTTTAGGTTAGAATGTCTCCCCCGCATGACCTAGCGGCACTTAGTCTATGCGATGTTTTATAGAAATAAAAGTATCCCTCTCCCAGTTTTATCAATCATTCACAATTCGTAGAGAAAAACCACAAACATGCAATTATTTTACCCATGGGCATGTTCAGCAATCAAATGTGAATCTAGAAATGTTTGTTTCTGCAATATTTTGGGAATATAATTTCCACATTCAGTACTGATGGGCTAAACCCAAAATTTTTCTGGCCAATACTCGTATTCCGAAATATTTTCTCCTCAATATTGTAGCCACAAACTCCTCTGATGGCAATGTATATCACCTGTCCATCAATTCATTACATGAGAGTGTTCTCCCGTCAACGAGGTCTATGAAAAATAAAATAATTCCTTTAAATAATTTTGAAATTTAAATTCATTACCTTTACTCTTATAACTAAAACACGGTCATTTCATATTTATATTAATTTTAACCAATAGAAAGTTTAAATTTCCAATCATTCATATTTTTCATCCCCTTTACTATAGTTACACAGTAAGTTTTTCTCAGATCAATCCACGGACGTCATTTAGGTAGGGCAGGGTGGGGCATTAACCCCCCCCCCCCAATTTGCAGGCTTTATTTAAATTACTATGTATAATAACCTTACAAACTGACCAACTGTTAATCCCCTATTTTGGTAGGGCAGGGTGGGGCATTAACCCCCCCCCCCCAATTTGCAGGCTTTATTTAAATTACTATGTATAATAACCTTACAAACTGACCAAGTGTTAATCCCCAGCGCCACCCCCCCCCCCTGAAAAAACCCTGAAATGACGCCCCTAAATCAAGCACTTGCCATGTAGATCCAATGACATGGCAACAAAAGAGTGTTCCTTTTGATGATGGTGTTTGATTGTTGAACTGGATATTGCCCAACAACGCACGTGTTTTCCCTTTCATGTCCCTGAAAAATCTTTCTCAGCGTATCCCCTTTGCTAATCAGATTTAGTATTTATAGCGTCGGAGACGGTTGCTCAGACACATTCGGTAAGTCAGCATTTTTGTGTGAAAAGAATCGTGTCTTACCGTACAGAAATGGCCATCGCTATCAAGTGCTTATCCTTCGTGGCGCTGCTGGCTGGAGCTGTTGTACTGAGCAATGGAGCGGCCCTGGCTAGACGGGTAAGTCGTGGCGTACGCATTACCTGCAAGATAGTCATTTTACTGACATCCCGTATTTTGTACTTTACAATGGCTGTAATGTAGGCATTGACGTTGGTGAAGACAAAGACTGTAATGTAGGCATTGACGTTGGTGAAGACAAAGACTGTAAAGTAGGCATTGACGCTAGTGAAGACAAAGACTGTAATGTAGGCATTGACACTAATGAGGACAAAGACTGTAAAGTAGGCATTGACTCTAGTGAAGACAAAGACTGTAAAGTAGGCATTGACGTTGGTGAAGACAAAGACTGTAAAGTAGACATTGACGCTAGTGAAGACAAAGACTGTAATTAAGTCATTGACTCTAACAAGGACAAAATGTTTTGAGTTTTGAGAATCATTTTAATTGCCATTTTAACAACTCAAAGATGACTATCCGATGGGTTAATGAATTGTTGTGGATTAATGATCAGATTTGTATCTGACTTGTATCTTCTTCTTCTTATATTTGAGGGCCCACGATCAATGTATTGATCATTCTGGCTCCTGGTTTGAATTCAGAGTTTGCCATCTCTTAGATGAGTTGCCGTCCAAGGCTAACGAGTTCCATCCCCCCCCCAGGGGTGCTTGGGATGTTGGCGCTTGTGGGGATTGAACTCCAAAACACCAGCTATCTGACTTGTATCTGACTTGTATCTGACTTGTATCTGATTTGTATCTGACTTGTATCTGACTAGTATCTGATTTGTATCTGACTTGTATCTGACTTGTATCTGATTTGTATCTGATTTGTATCCGACTTATATCTGACTTGTATCTGACTTGTATCTGACTTGTATCTGACTTGCATCTGATTATGTGACTTGTATCTGACTTGTATCGGGGGAGGAGTGGTTTAGGTTGGTCGGGAGTGCATCAGATGATCACAGACAATCGCTTATGGTCAGGTATGAATTGTGTAATTATTATATTACCGTTTATCTGAATTTGGTACATAGGGACGGCAGCGAAATCAGAGTGTGACCGGGGGAGTGGGGGTATCAAACGTTCTGTTGACCCTGACTTCATTCGACCTGTTAGAGGTGACTCTGTGGGTTAAACTCGATTATTTTTAAGTATATCTTAGTAAAACATAGGAATGTGTTCAACTATGCAGCGGTCAGTAAGTCTGTCGTAAACAATTGGTCTGGAGTAAACAATCGGAATGTTAAGTGCAGTGTCATACAATTGGGGATTATATTGAATTTTTTAAAATGTAATTACAAGGCCTATATAATTGCAATCTTGAATGCCTTAGAAATTATCAATACATTCTGGAATGGAGTTAAAGTTTAAAAATACATTCCAAGAATTTAACGCGCAAACAAAATTTAAACCGTTTCAAATAAATTATAACATCGTAAAGGAGTGACCCCCCTCCCCCTCAATTCACGGTCGAACAAATCAGAAAGACTTAAATTTTGGCACAAACAACAAACACAATAGGACCAAACAAAACCGATCTGACACGATGAGGAAAGACATTAACCGTATACAATAGTAGGCCATTTTTATTCTGGGTCAGTTTTTAAAGTTGTCCTAATTGGAGCCAGTCATAATTCTTGCTTTTTATATTCCTTAAAATTTAACAGGAACGCGGAGCCACACAGGAGCCTGACGACAACGCTTGGTCACAAGTCCCAAATGAGTGGTGGGAAGAGGTGGTCAAACAGGCAGCTCAAGAGTCTGACAGTGGCACTAACGCTTGGCACCGGGTAACAGATCCCGAGGTGTGGGCTGACGAAGATGATCTTGAGAAAAGAAATGAGGAGCCAGAAAACTATGAATATTATGAAGAAGGTGATAGTGAAGATACAACTGATGAGCCAGAATATTATGAATATTATGAATATTATGAAGAAGGTGATAGTGAAGATACAACTGATGAGCCAGAATATTATGAAGAAGGTGATGTTGAAAAAAGAGATGATGAGCCAGAAAACTATGAATATTATGAATATTATGAAGAAGGTGATAATGAAGATACAACTGATGAGCCAGAATATTATGAAGAAGGTGATGTTGAAAAAAGAGATGATGAGCCAGAAAACTATGAATATTATGAATATTATGAAGATGGTGATAGTGAAGATACAACTGATGAGCCAGAAGATTTTGAAGAAGGTGATGTTGAAAAAAGAGATGATGAGCCAGAAAACTATGAATATTATGAATATTATGAAGATGGTGATAGTGAAGATACAACTGATGAGCCAGAATATTATGAAGAAGGTGATAGTGAAGATACAACTGATGAGCCAGAATATTATGAAGAAGGTGATGTTGAAAAGAGAGATGATGAGCCAGAAAACTATGAATATTATGAATATTATGAAGACGGTGATAGTGAAGATACAACTGATGAGCCAGAATATTATGAAGAAGGTGATGTTGAAAAGAGAGATGATGAGCCAGAATATTATGAATATTATGAAGAAGGTGATAGTGAAGATACAAATGATGAGCCAGAATATTATGAAGAAGGTGATGTTGAGAAAAGAAATGATGAGCCAGTAAACTATGAATATTATGAAGATGGTGATAGTGAAGATACAAATGATGAGCCAGAATATTATGAAGAAGGTGATGTTGAGAAAAGAAATGATGAGCCAGAAAACTATGAATATTATGAATATTATGAAGAAGGTGATAGTGAAGATACAAATGATGAGCCAGAATATTATGAAGAAGGTGATGTTGAAAAAAGAAATGATGAGCCAGAAAACTATGAATATAATGAATATTATGAATATTATGAAGAAGGTGATAGTGAAGATACAACTGATGAGCCAGAATATTATGAAGAAGGTGATGTTGAAAAGAGAGATGATGAGCCAGAAAACTATGAATATTATGAATATTATGAAGAAGGTGATAGTGAAGATACAAATGATGAGCCAGAATATTATGAAGAAGGTGATAGTGAAGATACAAATGATGAGCCGGAATATTATGAAGAAGGTGATAGTGAAGATACAAATGATGAGCCAGAATATTATGAAGAAGGCGATAGTGAAGATACAAATGATGAGCCGGAATATTATGAAGAAGGTGATAGTGAAGATACAAATGATGAGCCGGAATACTATGAATACTATGAATACGAGCGAAGATAAAAGCACTGGTGAGTCAGAAGATGTTGAGTAGCTTGATGCCAAATTAGGTTACGATGACGGCTGCCACTTGTTAACTCCCTGAATGCCTTACTCTCACTTCAACAAATCCAAGAATGTCTATTGTAAAAAAAAAATGTATAAAAAAAAATAACGTCTTATTTGTCAAGTGATAAAAATGGTAGGACGAAATAAACTATAGTTTTCTAATCCTCTAAATTCCCTGTTGTTTTCTTTGCATTATTCTAAAAGTATTCCTAATGCCACAACATGTAAACCAAAAACTATTTGTTCTTCAATAGTCAAACGATTTTTTCCCTTTCAGGTTGCCATAATATTGATGTTAGGCAAACGGTTCCTTTGTGGAAAAAAATAACAGTAAAACCAAGAAACCACGTTCCTAATTTGGGTTTTACCATACATAAAATTTTCTGTAGTATGCTGAAAGTGGCACATAAAGCAGGGAGTCTATATAGTTCATTCCAAGTATGTGATTATGGAAATCAGGGTCGCAAAGCCACAAATTTATTTTTATTGTGCTGGCCAAGCAATATTTTAACTTAGTGCGAGCAGGGACGTCATTTAGGTGGGGATGAGTGGACCATTTGCCACCACCCCCCTTCCCTGAATGTGTAGGGTTTTTTTAAAAATTGCTATGAACTGTAGTGCCTCCAGTAATAAACAGCTTAACATGCCAAGTTTTTGTTTAGCCCCACCCCCCCCCCCTGAAAAAAACTGAAATTGCGCCCCTGAGTGTGGAACACGATCTGAATGTGCAAGCTGAGTAATATTTCAGTTCAGTTATGGCACTAGAAAACGGTCAGGTAGCTTTTTTTTTAAAATTGCTTGTAACTTTATGGCCCCCAGTAATAAACAGCTTAACATGCCAAGTTTTTGTTTAGCCCCCCCCCCCCCCCCTGAAAAAAACTGAAATTGCGCCCCTGAGTGTGGAACACGATCTGAATGTGCAAGCTGAGTAATATTTCAGTTCAGTTATGGCACTAGAAAACGGTCAGGTAGCTTATTTATTGACCTCCGTTTCAAATTTGGAAACAACAACAACAAGTTCCAAGTCCCTTTTTATGCTCCAGCCGTCCCTTCTGAGCCGCGGAGCTTCCTAACAGAACAGTAAGTGGTTGATTCTGTATGGTGTTTAGATCGACGTTCCTCAGTCCAGTGTTCGTCTTTCTGGTTCCCCCTTTATGTTTGGATAGGAGATGTGTCCACCGCCAACTGAGACAAAACATATTTTTTTAAAGGAACATCACATCCAATAGCTTAACTTAGATTGCATGATGGGCATCAGAGAAACATATCTGAACACAGATTTAATAGGAATATCAGCGCTGATCAAAGGATGTTTCAAAAACATTTCAATTCGAAACTGTATAAAAACTAATTTCTCTCTCATTCGGACATATGTAAGAAACCGTTTCAATTGACGATAAATATTTATTTCAACAATTTCATTGTAAACAAAGATCAATATTTCTTTTCACTTTTCTCATTCTGAACTATGAATAATATTATTTTTCACTTTTCCCACGCTGAAGTAAGAGCAATATCTATTTCTTTTCACCTTTCTCATTCTGAACTAAGAACAATATTTCTTTTCACTTTCCTCATTCTGAACTAAGAACAATATTTCTTTTCACTTTCCTCATTCTGAACTAAGAACAATATTTCTTTTCACTTTCCTCATTCTGAACTAAGAACAATATTTCTTTTCACTTTCCTCATTCTGAACTAAGAACAATATTTCTTTTCACTTTCCTCATTCTGAACTAAGAACAATATTTCTTTTCACTTTCCTCATTCTGAACTAAGAACAATATTTCTTTTCACTTTCCTCATTCTGAACTAAGAACAATATTTCTTTTCACTTTCCTCATTCTGAACTAAGAACAATAGTTCTTTTCACTTTCCTCATTCTGAACTAAGAACAATATTTCTTTTCACTTTCCTCATTCTGAACTAAGAACAATATTTCTTTTCACTTTTCTCATTCTGAACTAAGAACAATATTTCTTTTCACCTTTCTCATTCTGAACTAAGAACCATATTTCTTTTCACCTTTCTCATTCTGAACTAAGAACAATATTTCTTTTCCCTTTCTCATTCTGAACTAAGAACAATATTTCTTTTCACCTTTCTCATTCTGAACTAAGAACAATATTTCTTTTCACCTTTCTCATTCTGAACTAAGAACAATATTTCTTTTCACCTTTCTCATTCTGAACTAAGAACAATATTTCTTTTCACTTTCCTCAACTTTACCATTGATACAGTTAGATTTATAACCAACAACTTCGTTCTCCAAATGACTGTTATTTTGCTCAGACGGCTAATGATGTTGTCCACACATGCGTGTTAAGCCATCCATTCCTCATTCATCCAACGCCATACTAGAGCAGAGTTTTACTCACAAGAAACGTCCAAATGAAACCAAGCCACCGCACCTCTGTGTCCAGGAGACGTAGAGTGCATGCACGGTGACTACGCGCTACATTCAACATTGGTTCGTTCATCATAACTCTTCATTACACCAAGGTTGTCATGGTTACAGTGTGTGGAATGAACGACGCCAACATTTCCTTGGCAACAGAGCCTGAGACTAAATAAATACTCTCTGCACTTTTTTCGTCCGTGCTAAATAGTCCTTTATGACAGGTGTATACTACTCTACCCTACTCAAGACCTTTAATATGATAATCGAAAAATTTCTGCGGGCCGGTGAAATTCCTCGGTTGAACACGATGGTTAAAGCCACGCACCTACATCAGTATGGATGTCCAGAACTCTTTAAATGTCTTTTTTTATTAATTTATTCCGTTACCCCAGAAAAACTTTTGGCCGATACATAGATTTGTAACGCTTCTTGTATCTTCAAACTCTCCAATACCGTGTGCGTCATAAAACCCCAGAGTGATGCTGGAGGAATACATCTATGACACTTTAGTGTTTTGAACTTATGAAACTGATCCCCTACATGTTGAGCAATTCTCCTAGACCCTCCAGCCCTAGTCACCTGATTTCTCTTCTTCTTCTCTTCCTTATCTCTAATGTACTTTGACGCGCTGGAAAAATATCTTAGTTTCATATACACAGAACATTCCGATGATAAAAGAACCAAAAGACAGGCTATCAGCATAACTATCTTAATCAATGTGAAGAAATTAGAATTAGACACTTTTTTATAAACTATTTCGATTATACACGGTACGTGTAAATAATCTAATATTGACAAAAATCATTTTATACAAATTAAACCAGCTGAGATGATGTCTGTTGTTTGAGCACTGAGATCGTGTCTGTTGTTTGGCCAATGAGATGGGATGTCAACCATGTTCCCCACTTTCGAAATAAATATGCGTTTGTTTCTAAGACAAAAATATACCGTAACGTCGCTCCCGTGCGTTCTTTAAGGACTCAACCCCTTGTCCGAATGAAATTACTAAATTCTTGATGTTTTCTACCACTGCACAAGTTTAAAAGTTCTGAAATTATTTCAATAAAATTAACTGGTTAATCCAAAAAAATTAAAATCATTTTGGAAAATTGGATGAAATAATTATAATGGAAAAAAATTAATGGACTGCGTTCACGCCTTGCGAAGGAAATACTAAAACACAAGACATTTCTATGATGGAAAGGAAAAGACGTGACAATGGGAAGGAACTTTTGACAAAAGCCATTTTCAGCAGATGATAAAAAAAAAAAAACAAGTTGAAAAAATAATTAGAAACCAAAAATAAATTTTGTTAAAATAAAGTATGCCTTATCAAATCTCAATAAATTAAATATAGCTCTATGTTGAGAATTTGAAAGCTGATTTAGCTGGTTAAAAAATGTATCGATCAATTCTTTCTATTACCAGTAACTGCATCGATATGTTGACTCGGCATTATTTTAACACTATAAAAAAAAAAATTCACATAAATTGTAGAGGCAATATAAGACATCCCATCGATGCATCTCAACAGCAGTTTGTTGAGAAACAGAAATCAGCAAGGCATTGCTCAAGGTTTGGATGTCTACGTATTGCTTTTCATGACGTAATTAACAAAGGTTTTTTTTGGGGGGTCTCTTTTGTACTTATTTCTTTTGACCCCTCTGCCAGCTGTTCAAGTAGTTATGTTGACATTTAAGTTTTAAAATAAATTCCGGTTTCCGCCTGTGCACTTCCGGGGCGCTGCTCTGACGTCTGAGCTCCGAGAAGCTAGAGCGCGTGAAGCGGCCGCACAAGGGACAGTGGCTTCCTCTGACACCCATGCCTTGTGATCGTGCCGCAAAGACATGGGTACAAGCAGAATCTACTCAAATCCAACTTTAAAAAAATCAAAGTGAGTCCTGCGTACGGGGAAGCTTTCAATACACAAATAGGACC